CTCTCTCGCTATTTTATTCCGGCCTTTACAGCCATAGGGGCTAACTACACACCGGGTCGGGACAGCCAACACGCTGCCATACCCACAGCTTCGAAGAGGCGAAGACCACGACGACGGCAGCACGACGAGTTCCACTCCAGATGGCAGCAGCCCCGAACGTGAGTCGGAACTCGTCCTTTTATCCTCCACCAGCGTAGCCAGGCTCCGCCCTCGACCACGCCCCCTCCTGTATCCCCCAGAAGGCTCCGGGCTTCGCCCACGGGTCCAACTGGTAGAACGGGCTGCTGCCCGCACTCCCATTCTCTACCAGTCCCCAGCGCTACTGCGCTCCAGTGACTCATTCTACGTCACTACATATGTATCGACGACTTAACATGCAATACAACAGAGATTGGTCAACGTGTTACCACGGATCGTCGTGTTTTTGCGACGACTGAAGTAAAAAAAAACACGTGCAAATAAAACAGCGGACAGTGTTACGTGGTTGTATGTGTATCACACACGGACACTGATTTTATGTAGAAGCACAACACTTGCCATATTCAATATGAAAATACCTGTATGTATTAAAACAAACACGTTTATATCGGGTACAAACAACATACTTTTCGTTTTAAAAACACCTAATTGAGTTCCCTTATAAACACACACACATGAGGGTTATAACTGGTGGTTCATTGCAGCCGAAAGTGTCCGGAACTCTATTTGCACGCAATTATTTTGGGCACGCCACATCCATCCCGCCTGACTTTGTCCTGAATCTAATCATATGATGAGTATTATTATTATAGGAATGCAGGTTCTTATAAAATAGAATTATTACGGGGATGCATACATTGTATTGTGCCCTAGTCGATCATCCCTATTCCAAGCTAGTCGCGAGCAACGTTACCGGAAAATATCGAGTGAGAACTTAATCCCTGATCACGATTTACCACCCCCATTTGGCCCAACGATTCAATTAATTTCCGCGAGTCAAGTGTACAATAACTTTTTTTTTAAATCGATTGTTACGTTTTACATTCTAATGAATGCAGCAACCTCTAGCGGCTGCGGGTGTCACGTGAACCCATCAAATACAACGGATACAGTTTAAAAAAAAAAAATCGATTCTTGCACAAGTGAGCTTAAATTTACTACTATATTTACCCAAGAATGTCAGTGTGTAACGCGCATGACGTCACTCTACGTTGAACAGCCCCCCTCATTAATAATCATGAACAGGTTACGTCACTCCACATCGAACAGCCCCCCTCATTAATAATCATGAACAGGTGACGTCCTCAAAATGGACACCCCCCATTAATAAATAATAATTAGTGGGTGACGTCACTCCACATGGGGGGGGGGGGGGGCGAGGCGCCTCCTCCCCCCTCCTCGGCGTCAACTTACAACCCTCACGACAAAGGCAGAACCCTCACGTCACGTGATCTCCGTAACGCTGTTGTTGAGACATCGAAGTAAAGAGGACGTCGTGATGAACAAGGGATTATAACCTTTAAATGAAATAAGTCTGTGTCACCGCGGCCTTACAAATTGCACACGCATTGATGCAATGAATATATCACGTCGCGGTCTGCTTTTCGCTTGCAAGTTTCAGATTTACTGCAATACACCCGTCCTTGGATTGGAAAAAGGCTAGTAATTGATATTAGTCGATTCACCGATGCATCTTTATACCAGCGCAGTTGCCACAAGAGTGAAATTTGCATAACGCTTGCCCTATACGGCTAGCATACCCACAGAGAGACACTTCCTAACAACACACAATGGACATGTCAAATTACTGAATTTAAAAACACATACACGTATATTTGTAATCAATACTTAGGTTGCTGTTTTTATATACACTCAGAGATATATAAATTACTGTAAACATCATCACCATTTTCATTACTGTATATCTACTCTTCGTAATTCTTGGTTCTTTCGGTAAAGTCACGTAGAAGGGAAACAACAATCAAATAATAAAAATATAAAACAATAAAATTCTCACGACGTTTCGACTGCAACACAAGCAATCATCATCAGGTGTGAAAACCACAACAACAAAACGCCACTTTTTTCATATTTTCTTGTTGTGGTTTTTCACACCTGATGATGATTGCTTGTGTTGCAGTCGAAACGTCGTGAGAATTTTATTGTTTTATATTTTTATTATTTTATTCTTTCCCTTCTACGTGACTTTACCGAAAGAACCAAGAATATGAATCCCTGCAGTCACGAAAGCTTTAAATAAAAATTTACTCTTCGTAACTTCAGTATTTCATCACGGGAATTTAAATTTAATACAAAGCCCCGCACTTGGATTCAACTATTAAGCCCAGCTTTTACAGTGACACTAAACTACTCTAAAGGGACAATAAACCAAGCAATGAGCCGGTAAAAGGTCGGTCAGAACCCACATATCCCTGGCTCTAACTCTACAAGCCACGACCCAGTACAGCAGTGTTCTTCACTAATTTTTACAGGGGGGGGGGGGCACTTTCGCCGATATAGACATCAGTGTGAGGGCCTCCCACACTTTTGAAGCCATTGGAGTTTGGCAACAGCACGACGGTGGTGTTCTCACCATTTGTGTACTGTCGGGGGACGTACTAAAAGCCACCAGAGGACGCCAGTGGCCCGCGGGCCTTGCAATGAAGAACACTGCAGTAGAGTTTGGTGGTTGTCACGGGTCCTGGTGCAATAAATTAAATGTAGCCCCTCCTCTCTACCTGCCCCCTCCCCGCCTTCATAGTCCGGACTCCCCCCCCCCCCACCATCCGGCCCGTGGGTCCCGGTGCAGTTGCACCGCCTGCGCACGCAGATTAATCGCTCGGTACGAATAAGGCATCTAAGAGCTTGTATTTAATTTTAGGATTGATCAGAGGCGTCTAAAACCCTCACTTCTTCTTTACCTTCGTACAAAAAACACACGAATGTAAAAAAAAACCTCAACACATTCGTCAATCATAACTGTGTGGCCTTAAAAAAAAACAATATATAATCGGTGACTTTGTCGGGAAATTAGCCTTTGTCAAAGCACATGTACTGCGCTATGGTCCTTCTGTGAAGAAGGACCATTGCCCGAAACGTCGCGTATTTAATGTTTTTTTTTTTTAAGGACACGTAGTGTTACAGAGAACGGTGTTTTGTTACAATTAGTATTCGTGCGCCACTGCCAACACAGCAGTAAAATCACAAAATACCGTGACGTGATTACACAATTATAGTAGTACGGGTACTGTGCAGTCATTTTCATCGATCACGAAGTCTGTGTGTTGCACAGCGGGAGATGTAACAATATTCTCCCCATCCTACCTCCCCCACCCCCCCCCCCCCCCCCATTGGAGTCCATGTCATGGTCCACGTTCGATATTAGATTAAATCATCGATTAAAAAAAATCTCCTTTCAAACGAATTTGTTTCACTGTGTTTGACACTGGGAAGCCCAATATTATTGCCGTGGCTAGAAACAAACAATGAATCACATGATGCACGCCCGTTCTACATTGGCACGGTTATAAAGGCTTCACGAAAAGTGCTGGAATGATGGCTCAGTCGGTAGAGGTTAATGAATTCAAATCATAACCACGTGGTCGTAGATTGAGTTCCATTATCACCATCATTGTTACCATCATCCTTTCCGGCTCGGTAAACTTAGCACCACGTTGTGAGGCCGTTGTTAGACGACTTTGGGAAGTCAACAGTAATACGGTTGTTGCTGGTTGTGCTTGAGACACAGACATGTCCATCGGAACATCGGAATGTGTCATTTCCACCGCTGGATAGATACTCCCATGGGATGCGATGCCCAGCCGATATTCTTTGAGCATTAAGACACGTGCATTGTTCACTGCGTGTGTGTGTGTTTGTTTGTGTGCATGTATGTTGAGTCAGTGTTCTCTGTTTAGCCGGCCGGTGGCGGCTATGCACGCGACCTCTAACCCGGCACTGTTCATGCAAGGGTTGGTGGGTCACGAGACGAATGTGAAACTCCCTTCCCGTGAGCGTCGAGGAGATTCCATACCCTTGCTCGCCAGGAAAACAAAGAATATGTTTTCATGTGTATGGGATAAAGTGTTGCCCCCTCGCACCCCCGAGTTGCTGGGAATCCCCCCATAGTTGCTGGCGTTATAGTTGGAGTCGGGGTGCGGGTGGATGGGACGTGGCCGAGATGGAGTCTCCAGGTTTAATGATGATTTTTAATACACATGTCTACCCATACAATCCTCACCGAGACTCCAGATTCTTATTCAAAAGGGTCCTGCTAAGTTGTTTGCAGTCGTGGCAACCATTGCCATTGTGTTTCCCAATCAAGACATTTGCGGTGTAAGATTTTGTCAAAAAATTGCCAAATGTGGACCACGACGCCGGCACGGAATGGCCTACTCGTTCCGAATGGCGTCATGGGATCCACAACATCCGCCAGTGAGGTTGATACACCCGCAGTATTAACCAGGCCGGCCTCGCGAATTCAAACCGCGACAGGCGGCGATAATGTCCACGTTGATGATGATGGCGGCGATTCTTCGGGTTCATGGCGCTCGTCCACGAATGCTGATCCTGGGGATGCTGCTGCTGCTGCTTCTGCTGTCGCTTCTGACAACGACGGTGATGGTGACGAGGGTAACGATGGAGTCACGAGGCCGTGTTGTAGATGTAGACGAAGATGATGACGAGGAGGTTCAGCACCGTCGCCGTTATCCCGATGGCCGCGAGCACCGACTCCTCCCGCTCGTCCCGTCGATCCGCCACAAGAGCAGCCACGGCGTCTGGCGAGAAGACCGGCTCCATGCTCCGCGCTCCCCTCCCCTGCTCCCTCTCAGGCCTCTGCTCCCTCCCTCTGCCCCCCTCCCCGCTTCGTCCCCCTGCTCCCTCCCCTGTTCCCTCCCGCCTTGCTCCCCGCCCTGCCTCCTGTTCGCACCCTCCACGGACACTCGGTACCCTGCTCCTACCCTATTCTCTGCTCCCACCCTGATTCCAACGTACCCCCTGCTCCCTCCCCCCTTCTCCCACCCTGTCCACTGCTTCCACCGTCTGCTCCAACCGTACGTCCTGCTCCCACCCTCCTCCTATTCCAACCCTCAATGAATTCCACGGGCTGCGAGAAATGGACACGCGTAGGGAGGAGGAAAGAGTGAGTGGGGGGCTGGGTGAGTGGGGGGCTGGGTGAGTGGGGGCTGATCAGATCATAAACATCATCATCTACATCATCAGTCATGCTCACTGCACTGCTGGATTAAGCTCTCTTCACACAATAGCCATTAATCACGGTCATGCAATTCTACAATCCATCATCATTATAATCATCAGGCACGGTCCACCAACTGCTGGATGAAAGTATTATCGCGCCGTCACCATGCCTCACAGTCCTATGATGCTACAATGCATCGTCATCATCATTGGCCGTGGTCTACCCACTTTTGAGTGAAAGAGTACTTAATTAATATCCCAAGCAGTGCAATGATTATAACAATCCATCATCATCAGCATCATCACCAGCGTTATCCCCATGCAGTTCACAAAATGAGTACCACTTTCTGGGAAGTCAGCAGTGGTTGGCTTATGGATGGCATGGCTCCGCTATGAGAATGTGGAATTTCTACCAATGTCTCAGTACGACAAAGATATCGTTTGAGTCAGGACACTGGACGCACTTTATGACTGACGCTATGAATTACAGAGAGTGTAAATATTAATTGATTAGTATGAAAACATTCTTAACCTCACGATCATATGAACGTATCAAATTACGCATGTCAGAATCGATTTTTTTTCCGATTTGTAAATGTTGCATGTGACGAGTCAACGTGGGTCGTCCGCTAAGTTCATTCACAAAAATAATCGAATCTCAACAACCAAAGCGCCTCGTGTTTACATGGATAGTATCGACACTCCGCGCCCACAACACATCGGCTGGAAGTGGGGAGGAGCGGTGGCGCCGCGATGAGGACATTGCACTATGAACCCGGTTACCTGAGTTCGATTCCCGACCACGGCGAACATATACATCAGTGGCGCAAGTGACATCTTAATCAGCATCCCAGCCTCACCAACCCGCACTGACCAGCGTGGTGAAGTATGGTCAAACAACCCCTCCCCCCCCCCCGCCCGTGAGCGACACGGCGTGGTGGAGATGCCATCAATGCAGCAGCGGATTGACAACGTTCTCAAACAATACTGCAGCTATGTCGTATGCATCGCGACTGATGTAAAGTATGGCCATGGTCTAGGAGGTCTCGAGAGACAACTTGCTGTCGAGTTCTACGATTGTAACAAAAATAAACCAAACTTTTTCGAATTTTGGTCGCCATAATAAAATATAATGACAGCCCCTGGGGTTGTTCGTTTCACTCTCCAGGGGGGGCAAAGTCAGCCTCAAGCCTCCACAGTTGGCCACGTTTAAGCCTCGCGCCAAACGCTGAATTAAAATCAAACAAATTATATTGTGACGCTGCTGCGTTGGCAGTAGCGCGCACAAAGCACAATTAACAACAACAACAAAAATCTACAAGTTAGGTGTCAATAACTCCGTTGACTTAACAACAAGATGTGTATATATAATCGGCGACGATTCGAGCAACGACCCTCCTTCATAGCACGTCAATGTTGTTTGTAACATTCTGAACCGCCGCCTTGAAAAAAAGAGCTTCACAGCTCACCGGATTCCTCCAGCCTAAACAAAGGTTCTGATTCTGAATGAAGGGACCGTTGCTACGATGAAGGCCCAGTGACCGAAACGTCGCCGATTATGTTTTCTTCTAAGGCCGCGGTGTTATTCACGAACGGTCCCTTATCCAGTTACACGATGCCCATCGTCAGTGATTCGCCTCCCGACGAAGGCAGTGCTCACCTCCAGAGATGTTCCTGCGATCCGTTATGACACCATACTCCACGTAGGTCCCGATTTGGGACAATGGGAGATGCTCTATCCACCGCTGCTCTGTCTTGACGCCACCAAGGAAGTCACGTCACATCGGTCGCGGTCGTGGTTTTTGTTGGTGGTGGCGGTGAATGATGGTGGGTGACGCTCGCGATGGTGGTGATGGTCAAAGTAGTTCGTCTTGTGTGCAGGGAGATCGCTTTTCCTATGAGCACCGCTTCGCCTTCACGGCCTCACGCCGCTCAGCAGCAGTCTAGGAGGAGACGCGTGGTCTGACAACACATCACACAACAACAACAACAATCAGCACTTCACACAACAAGCACTACATCACGCAAAAAAGAACAATCAGCACATCACACAAAACAGCCTCACACAACAACTACCACATCACACAACAACAAAAACAACAACCACCAGATCACACAAAAACCACCACCACATCACGCAACAACCACCACATCACACAACAACTACGACATCACACAACAACCACCACATCACACAACAACCACCACATCACACAACAACCACCACATCACACAACAACCACCACATCACACAACAACCACCACATCACACAACAACTACCACATCACACAACAACCACCACATCACACAACAACCACCACATTACACAACAACCACCACATTACACAAAAACCACCACCACATCACACAACAACAACCACGTCACACAACAACCACCACATCACACAACAATCACCACATCACACAACAACCACCACATCACACAACAATCACCACATCACACAACAACCACCACATTACACAAGTAACCACCACCATATCACACAACAACAATCACGTCACACAAAAACAAACATCACATCACACAACAACCACATCATACAACAACAACCACATCACACAACAAACATCACATCACACAACAACCACATCATACAACAATCACAAAACATTAACAACCACATCACGTAACAGCAACCACATCACACAACAACAATAGCCACACCACAACAAACACATGTTAGCGAGCACCTATTAAGGGCATAATGCCCTTAATAGGTAGTGGATGCTGTGGAACAACGCCAGACCGTCTTTATCGAGTCAAATAACACCGTGGCATAGCCCTACTCATTTAAGGCTGAGTAGACCTAGGGGGAAGCCCAGCACCAGTTCAGATATCACTCGCCGCTGACATGAGCCGTGGCCTGGGAACGAACTCAGGTGACCTGGTTCAGACGGCAGCGCGCTAACCACTGTGCCAACCACACAACGTTAACAGATATTCGCAGGCAAAGATTCCCCGTATAGCCTTTAACATATTGATGGGGGCAAGTGCTGGTAGCTAGCACCTATCAAAGCCAGTACGGCGCTCGAGGAGAAGTGTGGCCAGCACCACGCCCGGCAGCCTTTGTCTCCCCCAGTGGTGATGTTTACACACCGTGCCAGGCACGGTTCAGATAATCGTCACTGGCGTTGGCCGTGAGCGAGAATAGAACTCGGGTTCGCAGTGCAGCGCGCTGACCGCGCGTGATTACCGCTCCCCTATTTATACACAAAAGACAAAGGTTTCCCGTGTATAATCCTTAGCATACTGCGGGGGCAAGTGCACGCACAAATATCCGATTGTATTAAAACCCCACACATCCACGCGGCACAGTTACTCACGACATGAGCTCCCACACATTCACACACGTGCGCACGCACACACATGCACGTGCGCGCGCACACACACGCGCGCGATCCCAAACACATTTGCGCACCTAGTCGCCTGTCACCTTTCCCCGGGTCGCCCAACGCCTCCTGCCACCTCGTTAATGATGATGATGGTAGCGATGGTGGTGGTGGTGGCGGTGATGACGATGGTCGTGATGATGATGATGATGGTGGTGGTGGTGATGACGATGGTCGTGATGATGATGGTGGTGGTGGTGGTGGCGGTGATGACGATGGTCGTGATGATGATGATGGTGGTGGTGGCGGTGACTATGATGACGATGGTCGTGATGATGATGGTGGTGGCGGTGACGATGATGACGATGGTCGTGATGATGGTGGTGGTGGCGGCGTTGCGATCCGTCGTGGAAGTTTCACCAATGGCTTCGGCTGAGGCGTGTTTGTTGCGTGAGTCCGGGAGATGGCCCCTTTGTGCGATGATGAATTAGGCATCGCTGTCCCGCGTGTGTACATCCTCGTCTCCGTGCGCGCGCGCGCGTGCACGCGCGGGCATGCGCGCGAGTGCACGCGCGGCAGTCTAGCGGTTAGCGCTGCGCTACGAAACCCGACGGGTCACGCGATCGATCCTCGCTCGCCGGCCACCAACACCGGTGACGATTATCCGAACCGGTCCTGGGCCTTCCCTAGGTCGACTCAACCTCAAATGAGTAACTGGTTCGGTGGTGTGCCAAACATCGGCACCAGGGAGACGAAGGCGATCGAGCACAGCCCTCGCGTGGCGTGTCGTGGGTCTTTAGCGTGGGATCTGCTATCTTGGGGATCTTTGTCTTTGTTGTCTTTGTTGTCTGTGTGTTTGATTTGCTTGCCGAAGACCGGTAGCAGCGGTGTCAAGATCGGCTTCTGTGGAGGAGGTTCGCGAACGACGCTCCTGGTTAGCCCGGAGGCATTCGCTCTCCGACAACAGCTGAGGGCGGAAGAGCGACGCTCACAACAACGAGCGGAGCGCCGAGCGACTAAAACGCAGCAAGGTGGCACAGTGGGGAGCACAGTTGGTGCATCTGACAGTCATCGCGGCCAGACAACCCAAAAAACCGGGACCTGTCCCGTGATCTCATGCCAGCGAACCTTCGACACTTCACGTTGCCTCAAAGTGCACCTAGCACTTGCTCCAACAGCAAGTTAAAGGCTACATGGGGGATCTTTGTATTTTGTGTGTATCGTTTCTCCCATATGTGTGTGCGTAATAACCTCGTGCGTATGATATAATATACCCGCGTGTAGCTACAACAGTACAGTATCATGTGTGTTTAATACTCCCACGTGTGTGCGAACAACCTTTGATTGATTAATATTCTTTATTGAACTACCCGAGAGGCCATTCGAGATACATCATCATCCCCGTTGATTGATGTACTTTATTTAACACGGGTGAGGGCCCCATTGAGGTTCGGCGTGCCATTTCCTGCATCGTCTATTGCTTTAGCCTGAACGTGGAAGTGCAGAATAAATACCTCAATGGAGACCCAAACATCGCTCATCCTGGCTTTGACATTCCTCCTCCCCCTCCTCCTCGAAGACACAGATGTGACCATCAACATCATCGGAACATCAACAGTAGCCCGCTGCGCCCATCTCTTTCGTTCACGCAAAATTAAAGGCAAAAGTCACAGTAGTGCGATTGTGGCCACGCAACTCACACTATGGACCATGACCACTGCAGTCTATAACGGGGGAGGGACAGCAAAACGACAACGACCCTCTCCCGATGCCCTCTCGTCGTGGTCAACGGACCTCGACATTGGCATTAATAGCTCCTGAACATAGATGGGGCCACGTGGGGTGGGAGGGAGTGGGAGGGGGTGGCGACGGCTGTTTAGACAGTGCTGCGTGTGATGGGTCTCGCGGGGGTTGTAGTGAATTGGCCTCGTTAATAATTGTCCACGAGAGCCAATTGTCAAACGTGCGAATTCACTCGGGGGGGAGGGGCTGGGGATGGATGGGGGAGGTTGAGGGGGGATCCCCCACGCCCCCGCCCCCCGCTCATACGCACCCCCACCCCCGCTTTACGCTGCCTACCTTGATACCAAATCACAAAGGCACGTCACGACTTATTGATTAATCGATCAAAATCGATATATTCACCAACGACGCGCTAGCGTATGTCTGCTCGTACGTGTAGGAATCGATTGCACGTATGCGTACTGCAGTATGTCCGATTGATATTCGCATTGTGAATGTGACCGAATCGTGGGATAAAAAAAAAAAATTCTGCAAGCAATGGATTCGCTTTATACTGCTGGGGGAATGGGGCGACGTGGCCGAGAGGTGCGCGGTTCGAATCTGGAAGATTGCCCCCGGTTATTACTGCAGGACAGAATTCACCGTAACGTTCTACGCCTCTTCACAAAGGGACGTGTTTTTTTTTTTAAATGGATAGGCCATTGTGCGCAGCGCCGTGGTCCAAAGGTGTTCCTAAATTTGGCAAACTTACACCGCTATTTTTAAAACTCAATTTCGGGATAACGCGAAGCCGCAACATCGCCCCGTACTGTGAAACGACACTGCAGATTGTGTCTGTGAATCGCAGCGGCACCTTCGGTCGTGAAAGCCCTGGCGCTCGACCGCAATACCTTGCCGATATCGTCAAGGAGCACAAACCATCACCGCACGAACTCCGGCCATCCTCGCAGCAGCAGCGGCTTTTTGGCTGGGCCATCAAACAAAGGCGGTCACCGCATCGCGCGCTTTCAGATGCGCTTCTGCGGCCGGCTGGAACGATCTTCATTTTTAAATATATATTTAAAAAACATTTCTTTAGAACTGCTTTTTGTGTTTATTTTGTTGTCCTTCCACCGCACCTCTAATTATCACGGTTGGCTATGTACCGTGCAAAAGAAGCGCAACATAAAGACGTACCGAAAGAACAAAGAATATGAATCCCTGCAGTCACGAAAGCTTTAAATCAAAATTTAAATAAATATCATTATGATTACAATGGGGAGCAGGGAGTGGCACCCACATCCATATCCCCAGTGCAATACTCCACGAGCGTTGTGTCAGCCTATGCAAATGCTGCGCGATCTGGCAGAAGGAAGGAAGCGATGGCGATGTGTGACGGCATCAACCATCATGGTGGGCCTGATCGTTACGAGCCGGGGGGCGGTGGTGGCTGCGCACGTGGCTCGTGATCCAGCGCTGTGGAGGCAGCCAGGGTTGGTGGATCACCGCACAGATGTCGTTAAACTCGCTTGGGTGTCGAGGAGCAGCCCGCTTGTTGGCTCGGGTTACAACGAGCGTAGCCTCCGGTCTCTTCCATCTATACGGGATAGAGTGTTGTCCCCTCGCACGCGTGGAGTTGCTGTGGGTACTCCAGTTTCCTCCCACATGTAAATACTCAATAATTGGCCGATAACACTTTCATATATATAGAGGACTGCAGAACTTGGGGGTGGGAGGAGGGGGGTTGGATTTTGTGCCGTTTCACCGCATGGCTGCCTCCCCGCTCGTCCGTGGTTCCTCCTGGCCCCTCTGAGTCCGTGGTTCCTCCTGGCCCCTCTGAGTCCGTGGTTCCTCCTGGCTCCTCTGAGTCTGTGGTTCCTCCTGGCCCCTCTGAGTCCGTGGTTCTTCCTGGTCCCTCTGAGTCTGTGCTTCTTCCTGGTCCCTCTGAGTCTGTGGTTCCTCCTGGCCCCTCTGAGTCCGTGGTTCTTCCTGGTCCCTCCGAGTCCGTGGTTCCTCCTGACCCCTCTGAGTCCGTGGTTCCTCCTGACCCCTCTGAGTCCGTGGTTCCTCCTGGCCCCTCTGAGTCCGTGGTTCCTCCTGACCCCTCTGAGTCCGTGGTTCCTCCTGGTCCCTCTGAGTCCGTGGTTCCTCCTGGCCCCTCTGAGTCCGTGGTTCCTCCTGACCCCTCTGAGTCCGTGGTTCCTCCTGGTCCCTCTGAGTCCGTGGTTCCTCCTGACCCCTCCGAGTCCGTGGTTCCTCCTGACCCCTCTGAGTCCGTGGTTCCTCCTGACCCCTCTGAGTCCGTGGTTCCTCCTGGTCCCTCTGAGTCCGTGGTTCCTCCTGGCCCCTCTGAGTCCGTGGTTCCTCCTGGTCCCTCTGAGTCCGTGGTTCCTCCTGGTCCCTCTGAGTCCATGATTCCTCCTGGCCCCTCTGAGTCCGTGGTTCCTCCTGGTCCCTCTGAGTCCGTGGTTCCTCCTGACCCCTCTGAGTCCGTGGTTCCTCCTGGTCCCTCTGAGTCCGTGGTTCCTCCTGACCCCTCTGAGCCCGTGGTTCCTCCTGACCCCTCTGAGTCCGTGGTTCCTCCAGACCCCTCTGAGTCCGTGGTTCCTCCTGACCCCTCTGAGTCCGTGGTTCCTCCAGACCCCTCTGAGTCCGTGGTTCCTCCTGGTCCCTCTGAGTCCGTGGTTCCTCCTGGTCCCTCTGAGTCCGTGGTTCCTCCTGACCCCTCTGAGTCCGTGGTTCCTCCTGACCCCTCTGAGTCCGTGGTTCCTCCTGACCCCTCTGAGTCCGTGGTTCCTCCTGGTTCCTCTGAGTCCGTGGTTCCACCTGGTCCCCCTAAGTCCGTGGTTCCTCCTGGCCCCTCTGAGTACGTGGTTCCTCCTGACCCCTCTGAGTCCGTGGTTCCTCCTGACCCCTCTGAGTCCGTGGTTCCTCCTGGTCCCTCTGAGTCCGTGGTTCCTCCTGACCCCTCCGAGTCCGTGGTTCCTCCTGACCCCTCTGAGTCCGTGGTTCCTCCTGACCCCTCTGATGCCGTGGTTCCTCCTGGTCCCTCTGAGTCCGTGGTTCCTCCTGGCCCCTCTGAGTCCGTGGTTCCTCCTGACCCCTCTGAGTCCGTGGTTCCTCCTGGTCCCTCTGAGTCCATGGTTCCTCCTGGCCCCTCTGAGTCCGTGGTTCCTCCTGGTCCCTCTGAGTCCGTGGTTCTTCCTGACCCCTCCGAGTCTGTGGTTCCACCTGGCCCCTCTGAATCCGTGGTTCCACCCGGCCCCTCTGAATCCGTGGTTCCACCTGGCCTCTCTGAATCCGTGGTTCCACCCGGCCCCTCTGAATCCGTGGTTCCACCTGGCCTCTCTGAATCCGTGGTTCCACCTGGTCCCTCTATCGTTCTCTCTTCGAGACCGAGGAGCGAACGCTGCATGACAGCGGCGCAGCTTTACAAGTTGACATTATTGTTGTTATTATTGTTGTTATTATTGTTGTTATTATTGTTATTGTTGTTATTATTGTTGTTATTGTTGTTATTGTTGTTATTGTTGTTATTATTGTTATTGTTGTTATTGTTGTTATTATTGTTGTTATTGTTATTGTTCTTATTGATCTTATTATTGTTGTTATTATTGTTGTTGTTGTTATTGTTGTTATTATTGTTATTGCTATTATTGTTATTGTTGTTATTATTGTAATTGTTGTTATGATTGTTATTGTTGTCATTATTGTGACATCTTTCAACTTGAACTTGGGTACCTCCCTAGCCACCCTGGAGAGCTGCCTCTAAATGGATGTGGGGGAGGGGGCATACAATTGAGCAATGGGGGGCGGGGGGGGGGCGGGGTAGAGAGGGGGGGCTGTTCATTAGAGAGGGGCACCCTCCCCGGATCGGTGGTGCCCTGCGGGCCGCGCACAACCCCGGGGAGCTGATGGCTCCACGTGTTCCCGGGAGGCGAGATCGCTCAGCGCCGGCGCACAGCCGCGTGACTGACGACTGATGGATGCTGGAGAGAGGCGCCGAGCGAGACATGTGGAGGGACAATGGACGAGGGAATGGGAGAGGTGGTGGACAGTTGTCCGGGGGTGGAGAGAGAGAAGGGGAACATAGATATGGAGTAGGGAGAGAGGGGGTAGAGAGAGAGGGGGGGGGGGTAAAGAGAGGCGGTAGAGAGAGAGGGAAGGTGTAAGGAGAGCAGAGCGTGAAATCTATCGTGAAATCTTTCATTTTTACATCAAGCAAAGCATAAAAAACTAAATGATGAACGAAGCAAAGTGCCGACTACACCGAGCATCTTCTTGTTTCCTCTGATCGTCAAAAAAAAGAGGGAAAGAAAACCATGCGGACAGACACGGAGAACTCGAGACATGACGATGATGTATCTATGTAGCCAACCGTGCTAATCGAATATTTGATTCCAGAATATTTATTTATACTGGAGGAATCCGATGAGCTATAAAGCTCTTTTTCGCAAGTTGAATAATTTGCGGGTATTTTGTTGTTGTTCATTTGGAGTCAGATAGGGAGGAGAGATGGCTGTGACGGAAACGTCATTCACATAGACAGACGGGCAGACGGGGATGTGAGCGGGACAGCTCTAGAGAACTCGACACAGACGGAGGGGAGCGAACAATGAACGGCAATACGAGATGAGCGAAGGCAAGGTTAGAACGTGGGAGAAAAAAATATGATGCGTAGAGAGAGTGTGAGGCCTAGAGGCGATACAGAGAGACACACACAAAGACCCAGAGAGAGAGATACACGTAGATAGTCATCGGGAGACACAGAGAAAAGGGCAGATACACAGAGACAGAGAGAGAGACATACAGAGCGACGAAGATCGATAGATTGATCCGCGGGGACACACATAGCAACACAGGGAGACACAAAGTGACACATACAGCGATAGAGACACACAAAGAGACACGGATAGTAGTGACACAAAGAGACATAGAGAGAGACACACAGAGGCACACATGGCGACACACAGAGAGACACACAATGGGACACGCGCACAAGAGAGAAAGAGAGAGAGAGCTAGACAGACAGAGAGGAATTATGCCCAAAGCGACCAGCTGCAATCTCAGCGCGTCCAGCAAAGCCGCCAATAAAATCGATGGATCGGTCTCTGGCCTCTCCGCACGAGCAGGAGATCGGAAACACGAGGGGGGCGGGGGGCGGGGGAAAGCGGAGAGAGAGAGAGGGACGGGGTAAGAAGGAGGAGAGCAGAGCGTGAAATCTTTTGTGAAATATTTCATTTAAACGGGGGCGGGGGGGGGCACATAAAGCAAAGCATTGAAAAAAAAACCGAAATGATGAACGAAGCAAAGTGGCGACTACACCGAACATCTTCTTGTTTCCTCTGATCGTAAAAACACAAAGAGAGGCAGGGGGCCGGGGGAGGTGGGGGGCGGAGTTGGGGGGGGGGTTTGGGGGCTCGGCCACCCAACCGGTGGAGTGCGAGAGACACGTGGCGCTGTTGCAAACAGGTCAACCCCCACGTTACCATCGATTTATCAAATCATTTATTTGCTCTCGTATATTCTCCCAATTACGCGGTGACTGTGTCATCGGCGTTCTGTCCCTGAGATGTTGGCGACGTTGGTTGCCATTGGGGGGAACTGTCGCGGCTAGCAGTGCACCACCCCGTGGCTCGCGACTGTAATTACACTGAATGAGAATCGGTTTTCACCTTTTTTTCTGGCAACAAAACAGTTGTGTTAAGATGTTAAAACACCAAACTGAAACGTTTTACGAGAAATCATGTTCGCATTAACCACAATACTTGTGGTCAGAATGCAAACAAAAAACATACTCTGATAATGTATGCATTGTCTTTGTAAGTGATTGGTGCACACCAGAGACTAGGAAAACCTATCTCATATTTTGGTACTGGCAAAGGAGGTCCCATGATGTAATTACACTACGTAACACATTTTCTTGTTCCTAGGTACTAAGTGTTATTTTTTAATTGCTTATGCCTAAAAAGTATAGAAAATGTCTATCATTCCCCACAAACTTTGCTTTTGTGACCAGGACTTAATGTGAACGAAAGACACAAATGCACACCACGTTTTCTCATTGAAAATAAGTAAATTTCAGAATATCACCGTCCTGGTCACAAAAGCAAAGTTTGTGGGGAAAAATAGTCCGTTTTCTGTACTTTTGAGGCATAAGCAATACCTACTATAATGAGCCAAGAATGTTTGTGTCCCGTGCGTGACGTCACTCCACATGAGGCCCACCCCCCGCGTGACGTCACTCACATGAGGCCCCCCCCCCCCACAATTAATATTCATGAGTGGATGGATTTTTACACTAACGCAGAGGAAGGTCGAGCTTAATCAAATAATTTATTACGCAAAGTCGCTTCAAATATGACGCTTCTTTACAGAAAGTAACGCACACGATGTTGTGAAATTCCCTTCCTGCGAGCGTCGAGGGAGTGGCCATATACCCTGGCTCGCCAGGAAAAAACAGCACATCAAGTAGACGAATCGCCATCCGTTTTCATCCGTAGGGGAGGGGATACAGTGTTGCCCCCTTACGCGCGTGGGTTTTCTCTGGGTGCTCCGGTTTCCTCCCACTTGCATACACAATCATGCATTAGTTCAAAAGATATTAACAATATAGAGGGCGGCAATTATTGGTAACGTCGGCTCACCGCCTGGTTGCATTCCAGCTCGTGTCTGTGGTTCCTGCTCAGCGATTGTGAGATAGAATTGTCACGAACGACGACGTCATATATAAAAAAAAACGAAACGTTATATATGTTGTCGTTATCAGCCATGGCCAATCCGCTGCTGGATGAAGGCACCGCGATGTCTCACGAGCCTGTGATATAATTACTATTATAATCTACCTGGACCCAGCACACGCACTGATTCCCTTAGGTAGACATCCCTTCGGACGGGTTTCACCAGTCCTTGGCTGTCGCTCCGTCGTTTAACTCTGTTACACTCTGGTACACGGTGGAGAGATGTTAGCTAAGCAGCGACCTCCTGCATAACTCGCCTGGTATACAGGAGGTTGTGGCTTCGATCCCGACTCCGATGCCTGTATATTTGGAGTTCGCGTGTTCTCGCCGTGGTCGCGTGGATTTTTCCTCCGGTTTTGCCCTCCACTTTTATAAACATGCGTTTCGTATAATTCGGCTGCTGTATCCCCACGTATGATGATGTAAGCCAATTCGATGGGCTGTCGTAAGTGGCCAGGTCGCTTCTGAAAAAAATAATAATAGCTCAGTGGGCTTTTACGTGGCCAAATAAAATAGTTTCGTTCATAGTTTTGCCGCTGATGATGATAATGCACCTGACCCTGCTGAGAATGTTGATGATATTGACGCCGCTGATGTCCACGCTCCTAACAATGATTATACTGCTGACGCTGCTGCTGCTGATGCTGATAATGAACCTGGCCCTGCCGAGAATGTTGATGACACTGACGCTGCTGATGTTTAGGCTCTTGACAATAATTATACTGCTGACGCTGCTGTTGCTGATGATAATGCTGATGATGTTGTTTGTGCTGCATTAGGGGATGCGGAGAGGGAGGGCCCCGTGGTCCCGCTGCCATTAAGTCCCTGCCAGGTGAGGCGACGTGTGCGTCACTGGAGCCTGGAGACTCGACAGACATCCGTGGCAGTGGCAGCAGTGGCAAGGGCAGCGAAGCTCATTGTTGTACTGTACTTTATACTGCTCTCGCCCTCTGTGTTTTCCCGCCTTCGCCAAACAGCGCTGACCAGCGTGGCGAAGTATGGTCAAACAAACTCCGTAGCAGCGTGGGGAAGCCCTCATCCAGCAGTGGAATCACAAGCCTCGATTTGGGCTGGTGATGACGCCGATATTGTGAATGGCGATGTATATTTTCACCATTGTTATCATGGACAATGATCAGTCCACTGCTGGATGAAAGGCCTCTGCAATCCATTGCCATCTGTCACGTCGGTTCTGTATGTACGGCATGTTGAACTTCTTTCGCACCGTACGTAGCCAACCCTGCTAATCAGAAGTGCAGGACAGGGGAAGGGCAAACAAAAACTAATCATAAAGAAGTTTTAAATCTAGATGATTTGAAAGTGAATAGTTCCAGTGGCTTCCTAATATCGGAAGGAAGAGCGTTCCAGACGGCCGCAGATGCGCATCTGAAAGCGCGCGATGCGGTGACCACCGTCTTTGTTCGACGGCGAGTCAGAAGAGGCAACAATCCATCCAGCCTGCACCTGCACCCGAGCTGATTTCATCGCTCTATCTCCCGCGGTGGACGTCCTCTCTCTCTCTCGGGCGGGCTTCGCACCTTTAGCTGTCACTCCGTCGTTCGTCTCGACCGCCCGCCATCATCATCAACGTGATGCTTCTGCTGCTAATAACGATGTGGATGACATTGATGATGATTTTTTATGAATATTCTTGTACGTAAATGTATAATTCAGTGGCAATGCTACTCGCTGTTGATACTACTGCTGCTGCAGATAATGATGTCGTAAAAATGCATCATTCCGCACGCAACGATTAATCGATTAACTCGCAAATTCCGGTGACATTCACACATTTTCAGCTCAATTTATGGACGGAACTTCCGAGAATGTCTAGCGGCTTACGGGAGTCACGTGGGAAAGGTCGGCTCTGAATGACGTCATAGCCCAATAATCCCAGACCACCTGTCGTGTGCGTTATAGGCCCACAGGTGAGAGAGCCGCAGGTACAGAGATATGCCCTATTACGTAAGCACGGTTCATTTCACACGTAGGGCTTTCACAACCGAGATTACGATTTCACAATTTAGTTTATTCGGGTGTCAAATCGTTCCAATGTCAATTACTGCAATAACCCTCCACCACCCGACACAGCCTAACGAATCAAGTTGTCACGTTCGCAAATGTGCCGATTTGATTTCGGTTTTTTGTAGCAAATCGGTTTTTTTGTTATACGAGTGACATTTAAACGATCTGGTACTAAGTTGCAGACTGAACGGGGAGGAGGGGGGGGGGGTATATCAGGGTTATGAAAAAATCTAAGAATACCGGTGTGGTAAGATGTCCAAACACCAAATAGACAACTGCCACGAGCATGATGATGTGTGGTTAATGCAGACTTGGCGCCTCGCGATACAAGTACCAGTTTGGTGTTTGAACATCTTCAACACCTCTCGTATTCTTGCCGGAAAGGGGAACAACGCATCTTCTCTTTTCATCATCTTGATGTCGGGGTCGGGGGGTGGGGGGTGGGGTGTGGGGGGAGAGTCCCATGCATGGACAAATCAGGGTTGCTGAGCCACAGGGCCATTGAACGCCAAACGGCCAGCAATAAACAGCACCTGGGTGAATAACGGAGACGTTAAGGGGCTCTACCGATTGGACAAACGTGGCAGCAGGGTCGTGTTCATGAGTTCATAGCACAACTCGTAAAGAGCACCAAAAAGCCGTTTTAGTGATGATAAAATACACCTCCCATAATAGAGGTTTTTTGAGGGGGTTATATCGCGTAAATATAAATGTGTCGCTGAACCCGGCCACCACCCGACACAGCAAATTAGTGAGGTTTGTCACGTAAAACAAAGCACGCCAATTCGTGACTAGTACAGCACAACGGTGTGTTGGAGAGTAAACCTACAACATAAAAAATTCGAGTACGACGTTTCGCCAGTAATTACAACCAGCATTATCAGGCGACGGCCAGATTCGTGGAGAAATAACACGCGCGTTGTCGCCTCGTGAATGCAGTGTGCGGCATGACTTAGCCGCTCACGGTTGAACAAATTCCCCACGAGACCCACGTCTAACAGCGGTCTTCTCCGCCTAAACTAACGTTTCAATAAACCTTTCCACTAACACGCTGCACGCACCGGATGGTTTGGTATAAACACATCCCACATGGCGTGGAGAGCATTCGAATCAAGCATGCGCATCTCTATGTAACGTGGAAGCCGCGTGAACGAAGACAAAGATCCCCCGTATAGCCTGACCAGGCTGTTGGGGCGAGTGCTGTTAGCGAGCGGCACCTATGAAGGTCGGCACACGAACACACGTGCGCGCATAAACAAACGAACGAAATGTGCTTAAATAGATGATTTGGTGATGCTACTGCATTGGGAGTGCCGTATAAGCACAATTCACAATACAAGAAAACTCAACACACTCGTCAATAACACCGTGACCTTAAAGGGAAAAATATATAATAGGCCGAAAGGTCGCCTACTATATATTTTTTTCCCCTTTAAGGCCACGGTGTTATTGACAAATGTGTTGAGTTTTTGATGTCTTAAATAGAGAGTCAGCAGCACTCTTCACGTCAAGCCACGTGTAGTTCACCAATCATCAGGCTCGTACGGCGCGTGACGACTTCGAGTTGCATTTTGACGGTGAAGAGTTGGTCATTGTGGGGACATGCTTGTCTACACGCACGCGGTAACATGACATGGAAAGTGTTTACCAATCATCGGGTGCATGCAGCGCGTAATTACTTACTTAACGGAAATGGTCATTGTTGAGACCCACACTGTACGCTAACCCACACGGCTTCTTATTTGGTGATAGTACAGTGCTGGCAGTGTGCCATGAAGAAGGACCACTGCACGAAACGTCGCTTATTAAATACAGTATTATGATTTCCCTTTTAAGACGGCAGCGTTATTGACGAAAGTGTTTAAGGATTTGTTGTTGTTCGTTAATTGTGCCTGTACACCACTGCCAACGCAGTAGCAACAGCGGCATAACCGAATAACGAGTTTAGTGGTTCAGTAAAATCAGAGCGAGGAAGCGTTTACCAATCATCGGGCTCGTGCGGTGCGTACCATGAACTCATTTGTATTCGAAGTGAGAACACTGGGAGGGGGTGGCGAGTCGTATGGCCGTCGTGGTGCATGGGGGGGGTCACACGAGAGGCGAAGTTCGGAATGCGTCGCGCGCTCAACGAACAGCGCTTGCTCTGATAGATCAAACAACGGAGTATACCACCGCGACAAAAAAATGCACTTGGCGTCGTTAAAAGGAAAAGAGACTCGTCCATCTAAATTAACCCCGAAACGTTGTTGCCGACTTACTGCCAACGCTGTTGCGATCGGCTACCGCGGGCCGCGCTGTCCGGAGTGAAAGGGGCCGCCCAGCGGCTGCTGGGGGAGGCCCCCGAGGCCGCCCAGCGGCTGCTGGGGGAGGCCTCCAGGGCCGCCCAGCGGCTGCTGGGGGAGGCCCCGGGGGCCGTTGTGGAGATGGAGGGGGCGGGGGGGGCTCTTTTAAAGCGAGGCGGCCCCGGGCTCTAAATTGGGGCCTTTGGCATCTATCCCCACAAACCCCTTTGGGGGTCCCCCGTGGCATGGAGTTCGTCGACAGTCGCGTTTACCGTACGCTACAGCCTACGATATGTAAGAGAGGTGGGGTTGCTTTTGGGGTTAGATCACGACAGCCAGAACTGTGGCTGTTGCCTGACGAGGTTAGTTGTAATTACCAACGAAACGTCACAGTTCTTGAATTGTAAATGTTTCAGGTTTACTCTCCAACACTCAACTGGTGTGCTGAACTAGTAACTAATTGGCACGTTCTGTTTACGTGAAAAACTTTGCTAATCAGCTGTGTCATGTTTGGGCGGGTTTAACGACACGTTTATATTCTGCGCGATCTAACCCAAAAAAATACCCTCTAATTATGGATATTGGGTCGCGAAAACCTACGACGTGTTAAAGCCTACCACACATGACATGCAGACAGCTATTAGCTCAGTTCCTTGAGGTGACCAGTTCAATTCGTGGCCGATGTCCACTCGTCATTGTCATCGTAATCATCATTATCACTCAGGTCACATTGCCTTAAATATGGAGTGTGCAGGCGGTGCAGCTGCACTGAGGCCCAAGGGACAGGAGGGGGCCACAGGTAGCATCGTGTTCGGAAGAGGCGGGGAAATTGGGCAGTGGCGAGTCCCATCACAATTTATTTCACCAGGGCCCATGCTCACCACGTGACACCACTGAAACCGAGGGTCGTAAACATGTGCTGCGCTGCTCGGTCCAAGGAAGTTAGACTGCAGCCCATTTAGCGTGAGTTCTGTGTGTGTGTGTTTAGACTGGTCCAGGCGTGGTTGCAGGCCACACACCCTGTCGCGTGCCGTGCCGGCCTTCATAGGTGCTCGCCTACAGCACTTGCCCTCTATGCTATACGGGGGATCTGAGTTGTGTGTGTGTGTTTAGACTGGTCCAGGCGTGGTTGCAGGCCACACACCCTGTCGCGTGCCGTGCCGGCCTTCATAGGTGCTCGCCTACAGCACTTTCCCCTATCCTATACGAGGGATCTTTGTCTTTGTTCAATTTCCATCAACGGCCAGTAACGTAGACGCGTGTACATTTTTAGTTGGGTAAGCCGGGTGGCTCTGTAAGTGGGATGCATTCACTCAAATCTCGGTGGATGGTCGAATCAGTCAATCATCGTCCATCATCATCTCAGGTAGATAAAAGAAGTACCACTTTGTGTAAAGTCAGCCAGTGCGGTCATCCTATGCCTCCTGCCATGGCGATGTGGATGTTGCCACGATTGGATCAGAGTTGGCAACAGAATGTTGATGGCGAATGTTTGAATCACGCATTGTCAGTGAGCGTTCCTCCTTTTTGGTCTCATGCTGGAGAATGCTCTATCCCCGCCAATGAGCGATATGGAAAACCGACGAAAGAAGGTGCTTTTCCGTTGTGCCGTCAAGGTATGAATCTCCTCAGATCTTAAGCTAAGCGGGAATAAGCCTGGTTAGTACTCGGATGGAAGACTCCATGGGTGGGTGCTTCCTGGGGCTGCGGAGTGGCCAATCAGATGGTAGCACAGCGATGAATAATTGAATCCATCCGTGCAGAGCTTTCACTGTTTCCCAACATGTATTTGTGGTGGAGTTTCTCTGCTATACTCCTGCCACGATGCCAAACACTCACTCGTGGAAATCGGCCAAACATATCAACCCTGCAGGAGCCTCCTGAAAACGAGTCTTGAGACTTGGCGAGACTCAGCGAGGCTCTGCCATGTAAATATAGGGGCAATGTTACGACTGACACGGTATGGGAGAGAGGCTCTCATCCAGCAGTGGGTTGACAACAAAGGGGCTGTAAATGACCATTGTGAGATCTTATCGCAAACATTGCCCGAACGCTTCACACAGAAGGCACGGGGATCTGCCCCGCTTCTCCGGCCAACCCTCCCGCCACAAAGTCCGACAGCTTCGCCACGTTATGCTGCTGCTGCTGATTCTGCTGCTGCTCCTGATACTGCTGGTACCGATGGCGCTGCTGCTCCTGCTGCTGACGTTGCGAATTGGCTGAAAATGTGGACAGCGCCCCGAGTCGGGAACGCGTCCGACTGGAACGGAAGAGGCTGCCTCCGTTGCATTCGTCGTCGTCGTCTTCGTCGTCGTCTCTGTAGGGGAGGTGGACGAAGCCGCCGTCACTGCTGGCCTCCTGCTGCGAGGGGCTGCTGCTGCCGCCGCCGCTGCCGCCGTAGGGCTCGACGCGCGTGTTGAGCGAGCTGCTGGTGACGCCGCCGGTGCCACTGCCGCCGCTGCGGTGCACGTACGGGTGGCAGCCGGACACGAGCACGCCGCACGGGCCCGGCTCCACCGTCGCCGTGTCCGTGTCCGTGGCGCGGCCGCCGCCCCGTCCGCCGCCCATGACGACGTCCTTGCTGGGAAACGTCCTCTCTCCCCTGCAGGACGAGCTGGGGCCGCACGCCTGGTCCACCAGTTGGCGGCGCGGAGCCCTCGGCGAGAGGATGTATGCCGAGTTGGTGTCACGGTGCGACGACCTCCGCACGCCGATTCTGCCGCCTCCGCCGGCGCCGCCGCGGCCGCGGCCACCGCCGCCGACCGCGACTCCGACGGCGCGGCCCTGCAGCCGGGCCTTGGGGCGGCAGCAGCAGCAGAGGCAGCCGAGGGCCACGACGAGACGCAGGCAGCAGGAGACCCTCCTGCGCAGGCCGGGCCCGCTGCGCGAGTACAAGAAGGGGTTGAGCGCCGACTTGAAGAGGGCGAGGGCGGCGCCGCACAGCTCGAGGCGGCGGCGCCGCGAACTCTGCGGCACGGCCGCCTCCTCCTCACCGAGCGCGAGCGTCGCGCTCAGCGGAGCGCAGCAAACCAGCGCCGAGACGACGATGAGCACGCACGTGACGAGGGCGCGCGAGTCCTTGGAGGAGGAGAGGTTGAGATGCGCGGGGGCGGCGGCGGCGGCGGCGGGGGGCCTGGCGTGGCGAGCGTGAGTCGCGACCTGGAGCCGAATGAAGGCGCAAGTTGAAAAGGGAGCGGCCACATCCGGCATTCGCTCGCCACTCAAGCACTCACATTCACGCAAAATGTGAGTTGATTGCGAGCACCCCAAGCTGCATTGTTTTTATTCAAATTTACCGATTTTATCATCATCATCATCCATTGTCAGCAGAGTGGATGATGGGAGCCTTCATGCGGCCCACTCTGTTCAGTGAGAAATTGCGACGAACGCCGTCGTCGATCCGGCGAGCGATGCATCGAAACGGGTTGCGCTGTGGTGAGCAGCAGCTCGAGTGCGAGCGATAGAAAATGCTCGCGTTGTAAAATGCTCGCTCAGCAGGTGAGAGAGAGCGAGAGAGCCCGCAACTGAGATTAACCAATCGCTCTCAGGTAAAAATCGTCTGGCAGGCCACCAGCACCAGTTTGAGAAGTACCGGGGAAGGGTGGGAGGGGTGCATTATGGGTTTGGCAGCAGGGGTACTGAGCCGAACTCCCCCCCCCCCCCTCCCCACAACTCCCCACCACCATCCTCCTGCCCCGCATTTCCCAGTGAGATTACCTTTAAAAACACATTATGTGTCCTAGGAGTTGTAGCCGAGGGGACCGATGATAATAATAATAATTTACGTTTGAAAGGCACATTTAATCCGTTAATCCCAATGATAATAACGACGGTCGCTGAGTTTAACTCACGAGGGGTGCGCGTTCCAATCCCCGGTTCGTCTTTAGCCGGCTCTCGCTCACTCTTTCTCGCTTTAGCCGATCCTCTTTGGCTACGGCGTCTCTCTCCAGCGAGCGACACATTGCTCACCATACCTGGCAGTAAGCGTCTATTGTACTCGGTGCCGATTCCGTTTTCGTCAGGACGGAACACGCGGTGACAAAAGTTTACCAAATGTTTGAGCGCACGCTCTTGCCCAGTTGCCCGCTGTGAAATGGCAGTGGAACTTAAGGGGGTCACGCAACACGCGTGTTCAGAAAAGTAGATCGCCGTGCGTGGGCTTCACTGCCCAACAAACTAATATTTCGAAGCTGACCAATATACTGCCATTATCCCAATAGGCCAGTATTATTCCAATAGGCCAGCATCATCCCAATCTACCATCATTGTCTCAATAGGCCATCATTGTCCCAATAGACCAGCATTGTCCCAATAGACCAGCATTGTCCCAATAGACCAGCATTATCCCAATAGACCAGCATTGTCCCAATAGGCCATCATTGTCCCAATAGACCAGCATTGTCCCAATAGTCCATCATTGTCCCAATAGGTCAGCATTGTCCCAATAGACCAGCATTGTCCCAATAGACCAGCATTGTCCCAATAGACCAGCATTGTCCCAATAGACCAGCATTGTCCCAATAGGCCAGCATTGTCCCAATAGGCCATCATTGTCCCAATAGACCAGCATTGTCCCAATAGGCCAGCATTGTCCCAATAGGCCAGCATTGTCCCAATAGGCCATCATTGTCCCAATAGGCCAGCATTGTCCCAATAGACCGGCATTGTCCCAATAGACCAGCATTGTCACAATAGGCCAGCATTGTCCCAATAGACCAGCATTGTCTCAATAGGCCAGCATTGTCCCAATAGACCAGCATTGTCCCAATAGACCAGCATTGTCCCAATAGACCAGCATTGTCCCAATAGGCCAGCATTGTCCCAATAGACCAGCATTGTCCCAATAGGCCAGCATTGTCCCAATAGACCAGCATTGTCCCAACAGACCGGCATTGTCCCAATAGACCAGCATTGTCCCAATAGACCAGCATTGTCCCAATAGGCCAGCATTGTCCCAATAGACCATCATTGTCCCAATAGACCAGCATTATCCCAATAGGCCATCATTGTCCCAATAGACCAGTATTGTCCCAATAGACCAGCATTGTCCCAATAGACCAGCATTGTCCCAATAGACCATCATTGTCCCAATAGGCCAGCATTGTCCCAATAGACCAGTATTGTCCCAATAGACCAGCATTGTCCCAATAGACCGACATTGTCCCAATAGACCAGTATTGTCCCAATAGACCAGCATTATCCCAATAGACCAGCATTGTCCCAATAGGCCAGCATTGTCCCAATAGGCCAGCATTGTCCCAATAGGCCAGCATTGTCCTAATAGACCAGCATTGTCCCAATAGACCAGTATTGTCCCAATAGACCAGCCTTGTCCCAATAGACCAGCATTGTCTCAATAGGCCAGCATTGTCCCAATAGACCAGTATTGTCCCAATAGACCAGCATTATCCCAATAGACCAGCATTGTCCCAATAGGCCAGCATTGTCCCAATAGGCCAGCATTGTCCCAATAGACCAGCATTGTCTCAATAGGTCAGCATTGTCCCAATAGACCAGTATTGTCCCAATAGACCAGCCTTGTCCCAATAGACCAGCATTGTCTCAATAGGCCAGCATTGTCCCAATAGACCAGTATTGTCCCAATAGACCAGCATTGTCCCAATAGACCCGCATTGTCCCAATAGACCGGCATTGTCCCAATAGACCAGCATTGTCCCAATAGGCCAGCATTGTCCCAATAGGCCATCATTGTCCCAATAGACCAACATTGTCTCAATAGACTAGCATTGTCTCAATAGGTCAGCATTGTTCCAATAGGCCAGCATTGTCCTAATACACCAGCATTGTCCCAATAGGCCAGCATTGTCCCAATAGACCAGCATTGTCCCAATAGAACAGCATTGTCCCAATAGCCCAGCATTGTCCCAATAGACCATCATTTTCCCAATAGACCAGCATTGTCTTAATAGACCATCATTGTCTCAATAGGTCAGCATTGTCTCAATAGGCCATCATTGTCTCAATAGGCCAGCATTGTCCCAATAGGCCGACATTATCCCAATAGGTCAGCATTGTCCCAATAGCCCAGCATTGTCCCAATAGACCATCATTGTCTCAATAGGTCAGCATTGTCCCAATAGGCCAGCATTGTCCTAATAGACCATCATTGTCCCAATAGGCCAGCATTGTCCCAATTGGCCAGCATTGTCCCAATAGACCAGCATTGTCCCAATAGACCAGCATTGTCCCAATAGGCCAGCATTGTCCCAATAGACCATCGTTGTCCCAATAGACCAGCATTGTCTTAATAGGCCATCATTGTCCCAATAGGCCAGCATTGTTCCAATAGACCAGCATTGTCCCAATAGACCAGCATTGTCCCAATAGACCAGCATTGTCCCAATAGACCAGCATTGTCTCAATAGGTCAGCATTGTCCCAATAGACCAGCATTGTCCCAATAGACCAGCATTGTCCCAATAGGCCATCATTGTCCCAATAGACCAGTATTGTCCCAATAGACCAGCATTGTCCCAATAGACCAGCATTGTCCCAATAGACCATCATTGTCCCAATAGGCCAGCATTGTCCCAATTGACCAGTATTGTCCCAATAGACCAGCATTGTCCCAATAGACCGGCATTGTCCCAATAAACCGGCATTATCCCAATAGACCAGCATTGTCCCAATAGGCCAGCATTGTCCCAATAGGCCAGCATTGTCCTAATAGACCATCATTGTCCCAATAGGCCAGCATTGTCCCAATAGACTAGCATTGTCTCAATAGGTCAGCATTGTCCCAATAGACCAGTATTGTCCCAATAGACCAGCCTTTTCCCAATAGACCAGCATTGTCTCAATAGGCCAGCATTGTCCCAATAGACCAGTATTGTCCCAATAGACCAGCATTGTCCCAATAGACCGGCATTGTCCCAATAGAACGGCATTGTCCCAATAGACCAGCATTGTCCCAATAGGCCAGCTTTGTCCCAATAGGCCATCATTGTCCCAATAGACCAACATTGTCTCAATAGACCAGCATTGTCTCAATAGGTCAGCATTGTCCCAATAGGCCAGCATTGTCCTAATAGACCATCATTGTCCCAATAGGCCAGCATTGTCCCAATTGGTCAGCATTGTCCCAATAGGCCAGCATTGTCCCAATAGACCAGCATTGTCCCAATAGGCCATCATTGTCCCAATAGACCAGTATTGTCCCAATAGACCAGCATTGTCCCAATAGACCAGCATTGTCCCAATAGACCATCATTGTCCCAATAGGCCAGCATTGTCCCAATTGACCAGTATTGTCCCAATAGACCGGCATTGTCCCAATAGACCGGCATTATCCCAATAGACCAGCATTGTCCCAATAGGCCAGCATTGTCCCAATAGGCCAGCATTGTCCTAATAGACCATCATTGTCCCAATAGGCCAGCATTGTCCCAATAGACTAGCATTGTCTCAATAGGTCAGCATTGTCCCAATAGACCAGTATTGTCCCAATAGACCAGCCTTGTCCCAATAGACCAGCATTGTCTCAATAGGCCTGCATTGTCCCAATAGACCAGTATTGTCCCAATAGACCAGCATTGTCCTAATAGACCGGCATTGTCCCAATAGACCGGCATTGTCCCAATAGACCAGCATTGTCCCAATAGGCCAGCATTGTCCCAATAGACCAGCATTGTCTCAATAGGTCAGCATTGTCCCAATAGACCAGTATTGTCCCAATAGACCAGCCTTGTCCCAATAGACCAGCATTGTCTCAATAGGCCTGCATTGTCCCAATAGACCAGTATTGTCCCAATAGACCAGCATTGTCCTAATAGACCGGCATTGTCCCAATAGACCGGCATTGTCCCAATAGACCAGCATTTTCCCAATAGGCCAGCATTGTCCCAATAGGCCATCATTGTCCCAATAGACCAGCCTTGTCCCAATAGACCAGCATTGTCTCAATAGGCCTGCATTGTCCCAATAGACCAGTATTGCCCCAATAGACCAGCATTGTCCTAATAGACCAGCATTGTCCCAATAGACCGGCATTGTCCCAATAGACCAGCATTATCCCAATAGGTCAGCATTGTCCCAATAGCCCAGCATTGTCCCAATAGACCATCATTGTCTCAATAGGTCAGCATTGTCCCAATAGGCCAGCATTGTCCTAATAGACCATCATTGTCCCAATAGGCCAGCATTTTCCCAATTGGCCAGCATTGTCCCAATAGACCAGCATTGTCCCAATAGACCAGTATTGTCCCAATAGGCCAGCATTGTCCCAATAGACCATCGTTGTCCCAATAGACCAGCATTGTCTTAATAGGCCATCATTGTCCCAATAGGCCAGCATTGTTCCAATAGACCAGCATTGTCCCAATAGACCAGCATTGTCCCAATAGACCAGCATTGTCCCAATAGACCAGCATTGTCCTAATAGACCATCATTGTTCCAATAGGCCAGCATTGTCCCAATAGACTAGCATTGTCTCAATAGGTCAGCATTGTCCCAATAGACCAGTATTGTCCCAATAGACCAGCCTTGTCCCAATAGACCAGCATTGTCTCAATAGGCCTGCATTGTCCCAATAGACCAGTATTGTCCCAATAGACCAGCATTGTCCTAATAGACCGGCATTGTCCCAATAGACCGGCATTGTCCCAATAGACCAGCATTGTCCCAATAGGCCAGCATTGTCCCAATAGGCCATCATTGTCTCAATAGGCCAGCATTGTCCCAATAGACCAGCATTGTCCCAATAGTCCAGCATTGTCCCAATAGCCCACCATTGTCCCAATAGACCAACATTGTCTCAATAGGTCAGCATTGTCTCAATAGGCCATCATTGTCTCAATAGGTCAGCATTGTCTCAATAGGCCATCATTGTCTCAATAGGCCAGCATTGTCCAATAGGCCGACATTATCCCAATAGGTCAGCATTGTCCCAATAGACCAGCATTGTCCCAATAGACCAGCTTTTTCCCCCAGTTGATGGTGCTGCAGCACTTCACCTGGTTGTTGCTTATGACAAGAGCGTTGGCCTGTGGCTGATGCTGAGAGTGCTGCTGCGGATGTTGAGGCTCCTGCTGATGATGACTCTGTTGCTGCTGCTGCTGCTGATGTTGAGACTGATCCTCCGACCGTTGCTGCTGTTGATTCCCCTGCTGGTGCTGTTGGGACTGCTGCTGCTGATGTTGAGATTGATGCTCCGACCGCTGTGGCTGCTGCTGTTTATTCCGCTGCTGGTGCTGTTGGGACTGCTGCTGTTGCTGCTCCTGTTGAGATTGCTGCTGCTCAGACTGATGACGTTGAATCACTTGCTGCCGATGGTCATCGTGAAGCTCCTGCTGGTGTTCAAGTTGAGACTGCTGCTGCTGGTGAATCTGAAGCTGCTGCTGCTGGTGGTGACCAGATGGCGCCAGCCCCCGTGGCTGCACGCGTTGCCTGGGCACGTCCACCGTGATGATGGCGCATCGCCGAATCTTGGCCTTGCGCCGCAGCGCGTGCGCAATGAGGCTGTAGGACGCGACCACCAGGGCCAGACAGCCCCCGAACCCAACTGCGTACACCTGCGGCGCCACCTGCGTCCACGCGGCCGACACCGACGCCGTCTCTGCCGCCATCCAGTAGTGGCCCGGGATCGGTTTCGGGGTCGCGGCAGGGGCAGCCGGGGTCACGGTCGGGATGACGGTCGGCGTCGAGGCGGCCGCCAACGAGGAGGAGGCGCACAGGCGGACGCGCACGGCCGGTGAGCCGGCCATGGTGGAGAGCGCGGCCACCGTCAGCGCCAGCGTCCACAGGCCGAGCGAGAGGCAGAGGGCGGTGGGGAGGGACGGCGATGAGCGGCCCGGCTGGAGGCGGCCCAGCACCAGCCGCAGCCTCTGCACGGCGATGATGGCCACCGTCTGCAGGCTGAGCAGGGGGAGCGCCGAGCCCGCGACCGCGAAAGCCAAGCAAAGGGCCGCGGGGCCCTGGGCGGCCGCGCCTGCGGCGGCGGTGGCGGCGGCGATGGTGGTCGCCACGGCGGCGGCGGCGACGGCGGCGGCGGCGTCTTTGTTGTTCACGTTCACGATGATGTTGATGTCCTCGTCGTCGCTGGTCTTGTCACGACCGCCGCTGCTGTTGCCGCCGCTGTGGAGGCCACTGCCGTTGCTGCCACCGCCGCTGCCGTCGCCGTGGTTGTAGTTGTTGTAGCCGTTGGTTGTGGTGGTGGCCGCGGTGACGGCGGTGGCCGTGGCGACGGAGGAGGATTCGTGCTCCTGCAGGAAAAGCACGAAAGCGAAGGTGGGCGCCAGCGCGCACGACACGAGCAGGTCGCAGAGCGCCAGGTTCACCAGCATCAGGTCCAGGCTGGAGCGCGCCTTGCGCAAGGCCGGGTCCAGGAAGGAAGCCAGCACAGCCACGTTGCCGTAGGTGCCCGCGCAGAACAACAGCGCCAGCAGCACGGAGCACACGCACAGTGTGGCCAGGCACTCCACCTCCACGGCTGTCAGTGGCTCGGCCACGGACGGCCTGGCGCCAGCAGTGGCGGTGGTGGTGTTGGCGCGCATGGTGCTACTGTCTTCGGTGGTGGTGTTGGACCAGGCCGTGGTGGTGGTGGTGGTGGTGCTGTCTTCGTCCATTTATGTAGAGGGGAAGATGGGCCCTGGTGTCGAGTGAAAGGTGGTTGGCGGTGGTGCTGGTGAAACGACGGAGCCTGAGTGGAAATCACAACAATAACATTGGGTAAAGATTCCGCCATGAAATGAACTAACTACTACTAGTTCAGCTATTTTTTTTTACCAGATAAGGCCCACTGAGCTCTATAGATCTTCTTTGGTTCTTTCGGTAAAGTCACGTAGAATGAGAATAAAATAATAATATAATAAAATAACACAATTAAATTCGCACGACGTTTCGGCCACAACACAAGTGGCCTTCTTCAGGTAAAAGGAACAAACCTGTCGGGACGACAGAGCTTTGAAGCTCTGTCGACCCGACAGGTTTGTTCCTTTATTTTATTATTTTATTATTTTATTCTCATTCTACGTGACTTTACCGAAAGAACCAAAGAAGATGAATCCTTGCAGTCACGAAAGCTTTAAATCTCTATAGCTCTTTTTCACAAATGGTAGCTCAACGAAGTGGCTTATCGCGTGGAAATTTACAGCCGCCAAATACTCTAAACGTATGGAAAATTACAGCCGCCAAATACTCTAAACGTATGTTGATTCTGAACGTGGAGAGAAAAACCGGAGCACCCGGAGAAAAATCCACACGACCACCATGGCGAGAACAAGCAAACTCCAAATATACAGGCGTCAGGGTCGAGATCGAACCCATGACCTCCTGGACACCAGGCGAGGTAAATAACATCTTGCCACCAAGAAATGTCTTCCTCAAGCCACTGCTAGCGGAAGGGCTTCCATGAGAGAGAGAGAGAGCCCTAGAGACTCCCTCGAAGAAGGTATTTGGTCTACTCTTCCACACTGGCCAAAAGGAGAAAACAATTGTAAGAGACGGGAATACCCACACTCAACCACATGCGACCTTGCCTGCCGATCGACTAGCTGTGGTTGTAGACATTTAGAAATGTGCAGCATTGTTTCAACTGCCGCGCCGGGAAACCGAACAGGGTGATCTCTGGATTTAAAGTCCAGTATTACTGACCATTACACCAAGACAGCATCCCCATTAATATAATCACGATAATAACAATAGTATTGTTGTTTGTAAATCGCGGAAATACAAAAAAACACGGTAAGATTCATCACCTACCCACTTACACCTACACCCAATGATGATTCGATCAATTATCACAATCCAGGGGTCGCCTTTCGATTCAATTAATAATCGATTATTTGTTTTGAGGTGTGGGGGGGGGTCTCGAATTTGCCAGCCTACTGCTTTATCTTACTGTGTAACGTATCGGGCACTGGTTTGTGAGCCACGCCCGGGAATCTAACTTAGGTAGTCAGGTTCATAGCACAGTGCGTGGACCCACCTTTGTTAAGTAAATGCACGGGTGCGTACGATGCCGGAGCAGATTGCGAAGCGGTTGTACAATTTGGACTACAATAGAGGTGGTGTGAATTCCGGGAAAGGAGAGAGAAATAATGTTAATGATCATCATCACCAACATCGAAATCAAAGTCATCATCAGCACTCATTCATTGGTTGTACACTGCCAGAAGGCCTCCCCACGTCTTTGCTATTAATCAACGAAATCATCAATGTAATCATCTTCAAGAACACCATCAGCAGCAGCAGCCACTGCCTCTCCACTGCTGGATGAATACCTTCACAGACCGTTGCCACCACCCCCCCTCCAATACAGGACCCGTTCAGATATTTCTCGTCACTGATGTTAACCATGCCAATGAATCGAACTCGTAGTCGCCGGGTTCGTAGCGCAATGCGTTAACCACTGCACCACCGCTCCCCACTTTTGTTCTGTTCGCGAGCACACGAAGCCCGGCAGGTCACACGACGGGGTGCGTGGCGAACGCTACGCCCGGCCGCCTTTGTCTCCCCAGTGCTGATATTTACACACCGCATCATTGATGGTCGAGTGGACCTCAGTCGTTAACGGTTATCGAACTCGGGTCGACGGGTTCGTAGTGCAGTGCCCTAACCACTAAACTACCGCTCCCCCTACATATCGGGACACGTACCCACCCACGTACACGCACGTATCCGCGCGCAAAGAGGCACGGGGCGATACACGCTGGAACAGCATTGACAGACGGAGGAGCACATGGATTAGAGGACATACGCCGGGCTAAAGACATCATTCAAACTGTCGCTAGAAGGGATGGTGGGCGGCTGATGGTCAAGAACGTTGACGGAGGAGCAGCCAATGGCTGGAACGCGACGGAGAGGATCTCCGCCGAAGCGAGGATGGAGCCAGCAAAGCGGCGCGTTATGCCGACGCTGGGTGCATTTCTACATCGCGGGGGAGATGGTGGCGGCTTGGGAGGGAGGGTGGGGGTGGGGAGGTCTTCATCCAGCAGTGGATCCACCGTGGCTGACGATAAAGACGACGACACACAGACGCACGTACACACGTACACACGCATACGTACGGGCGGCCGTTCCCTCCGATTGTGCTCCTCATTACCCCAGGGTCGATCGGTTTGCTGGAGACCCGAGAGCCGAGAGGCTGTGAGCTGGGATGCCAGGGACTGGAAGCTGGCACCCACGAGCAAGGGGAGTTGAGAGCTGGGGCACTGCGAGCTGGGAGACGGAGCTGAGATCTGTAAGGGGGCGGCGGGGGGGTGGGGGTGAGATGGGGAGACCCTGGCCCCAGCAGCTGGCCGTATCCTCCGCGCTGCGTTTTCTGTCTCCGCATCCGCTCCCGGTGTCTTCTTCACCCGTGCGTCGCGGCGTCTCCCTCCGGATGCGCGTGCATTGACGCCATAGTGATGTATGCGCGTGCGTGCGCGCGCGTGCGCGCGCGTCTGTGTAGGGGGTGTGTGTTGAGTGTGTGTCTGCGCGTGCGTGTGGGTGTTTGTAGGTCGACTCAGCCTCAAATGAGTACCTGGTGCGGTGCGTAAAAAAACATCGCCACTAGGGAGACAAAGGCGGCCGGGCGTGGTGCTGGCCACCCAGCCTCTCGTGTGCCGTTCCGGCCTTCGTAGGTGCTCGCTAACAGCACTTGCCCCAACAGTCTGCTCAGGCTATACGGGGGATCTTTGTCTTTGTGTGCGTGTTTGTAGGGGAGCGACAGCGTAGTGGTTGGCGCGCTGCGCTACGAACCCGGCAAACCCCAGTTCGATTCCGGCCCACGGCCAACACCGGTGACGATTATCTGAACCTGTCCTTGGCCTCCCCTAGGTCGACTCAGCCTCAAATGAGTACCTGGTGTGGTGTGTAAACATCGCCACTGGGGAGACAAAGGCGGCGTGGTGTTGGCCACCCACCCCCTCGTGTGCCGTGCCGGCCTTCGTAGGTGCTCGCTAAGTGCACTTGCCCCAACATCTTATAGAGGCTACGTGGGGGATCACCTCATGTCTTCCCTATCACGATAACAACAACAACAACAATATTAACAAAATAATGATCACCTCATCTCGTATATATATAAAAAAAATCATTGCCATCCTTAAACCGCTCTACCCTCCTCCCTGACTTACACCTTCTGAGCACTCCTTTAAACCAAAACTCTCCCCATCACCACCGCAACCATCACCATCGCACCACACAATCACTAACATCACCACCACCATCATCATCACCTTCACACACCCATCATCACCACCATCACACCATCATTACCATCACATCCATCACCATAATCACGCCGTCGAACCACCATTACCCATCACTACCACACCATCATAGAAGACAAAGATGTCCCCTACAGCCTACAGAGGCTGTTGGGGTAACTGCTATGAGCGAGCACCTATGAAGGCCGGTACGGTGCACGAGGGGGTTGGTGGCCAGCACCACGTCCGGCCGCCTTTGTCTCCCTAGTGGCGATGTTTACACAACGCACCAGGTACTCATTTGAAGCTGAGTCGACCTAGGGGTGGTCCAAGACCGGTTCAGATAATCGTCACAGCATCACCACCACCACTACCATCACACACGTTACCACCACCATCACACCAATCCACCACCACCATTACCATCACACCATCATCACCATCACCGCCACCATCATCACCATCACCACAACCATCACACACGTTACCACCACCATCACACCAATCCACCACCATTACCATCACACCATCACCACCATCACCAACACCATTCCCATCATCACACCATCATCACCACAACCATCACACCAGTTACCACCATCATCACCACCACACCATCACCATCATCACACCATCATCACCACAACCATCACACCAGTTACCACCATCATCACCACCACACCATCATCACACCATCATCACCACAACCATCACACCAGTTACCACCATCATCACCACCACACCATCACCATCATCACCACAACCATCACACCCGTTACCACCACCATTACACCAATCCACCACTACCATTACCATCACCACCATCACCGCCACCATCCTCACCATCACCACCATCATCATCACCATCATCACCATGACCATCACACCCATTAGCACCAACACCACCCCTCCACGCGCACAACCTCACCCTGGCCGTTGCCAAGGCGACCGTTGCCATGGACACGCAAGTTGCGTCACCCATCAGAGAGCAGCGGTGGTGATGACAGTGGCAAGAATGCACGCTATTTCGTAATGGCAATTATATCATTGTAAATAATAACGCTCATTATTTGATGCGAGAGAAATAATGAATCCTGTAATTATCACTTTAGTGTGAGGGAAAAAAAGGCTGGGCCAAATATTTATCTGCGATCCTTGCGAGGATTCGGTGAGAAGCGGTTTGCGGACGGGGGATGCTTTCATCCAGCAGTGGATTGACCATGGCTGTTGCTGATATTCACGTCGCGCAAACTGGTTGTGTATCCTGTATATGTGTGTGCGTGTGTCTATAGGGGCCGTCCATGAATGACGTCACGCACGGGGGGGGGGGGGTCAGACATTTGTGACGATGTGTGACGATGGGGGGGGGGGGTTTGAGAAATGTGACGTCACATCAAAAATGCGCAACTTTAAATAAATATAGACAACACGTTCTATTTAATTAAGTAGACTTTTTAATAAATGTTTTCTCCCGCAACATCAGAGTGCAGCGCCACATTAAATACGCACTACAATGACAATAGTTTAAAGCGATTTGAAGCATGTTTTATATATTTTTTTGGAGGGGGGAGGGGGGGTAGAGCTTTGTGACGTCATATTTGAGGGGGGGGTGTGACTTTGTGTGACGCCGTGTGACGAAGGGGGGGGGGTCAAAAATTGTCCAAAATCGCGTGACGTCATTTATGGACGACCCCATATGTGTGCGTGTGTGTATGTGGAGAGCGGTAGTGTAGTGGTTAACCCGCTTCGCTAGGAACCTTGAGTTCGATTCCCGCTCATGGCCAACACCAGTGTGACGATTATCTGAACCTGTCCTGGGCATCCCCTAGGTCGACTCAGCCTCAAATGGGTACCTGGTGCGGTGTGTAGTAAACATCGCCACTGGGGAGACAAAGGCGACCGGACGTGTTGTTGGCCACCCACCCCCTCGTGTGCCGTTTCGGTCTTCATAGGTGCTCGCTAACAGCACTTGCCCCCAATAGACTGTTCAGGCTATACGGGGGATCTTTGTCTTTTGTTTGTAAGCATGTGGGGAGCGGTGGCGCCGTCGTTAGCGCTGCGCAGCGCTACGAACCCAGAGTTCCACGGGTTTGATTCCCGCTCACGACCAATAACAGTGACAAATATTTGAACCAGTTCTGGGCCTTTCCTAGGTCGACTCAGCCTCAAATGAGTGCTTGGTGCGGAGTGTAAACATCAGCACTGGCCCGGGCGTGGAGTTGGCCACCCACCCCTTCTTGAGCCGTTCCGACCTTAATAGGTGCTCGCTAACAGCACCGAGCGGTGGTGCTGTGGTTAACGCATTGCACTACGAACCCGGTGGCTACGAGTTCGATTCCTTAGGACGGCTAACATTAGTGGCGATAAATATATGAACGGGTCCTGTATTGGAGGGGGAGGGGGGGGGGCAACGGCCTGTGAAGGTATTCATCCAGCAGTGTAGAGGCAGTGGCTGCTGCTGCTGTTGCTACTGCTGATGATATTCTTGAAGATTATTTCGTTGATTAATAGCATAGGAGAGACGTCTATTGTTAATGAACAGAGGTGGGAGCCAAGAAGGACCACAGCCAGAAACGTTGGGCTATCCGACATTGGTACGTCTTAAGGCGGTGTTAATAACCGATGCGGGGAGGTTTCAATTGATATTTTTTTTTAATATTTCTTCTTGTGAATAACTTACGGTTCCTAATATCAGTGTAGAGTACTGTAATGATATCCTCAATGCGTTTGTGTCCATGAATGAGTTATGTGCACTCGGTGCTGTATGTGTATGAAAGAATAACTAAGTCAATTAAATTCTACTGCTGGACGAAAGCCTTCCGACGTTGTGTCAGTTTGTGGGGGGGGAGGGGGGTGTTTGACCATACTTCACCACGCCGGTCAGTGCGGCCTGGTAAAGAGAAAGTGGAGGGTACGCCGGGACAGGACCGCTTCAGATGATGCTAACCGTAGCGCCACCGCTCCGCCTATACTGCAGCGTGCAGTATACAAACCATCATTGCCGTCAATTCAATCCACCAACACTGGACGAGAAGTGGTCCGTGCACATTACACTCAGGCAGACGTGGGAGGACGGGATGAGATACAGCGATGGATATTATCAGGTCGCACTCATTTCCACGCCAAGTGCTTGGCCACAAATGAACCACAATACCGCTCCGATCTCGTGAAGGGGGCGGAGGGGGCATAAGCCATCATCGCGCGAACCCCGGTGGTCACCCCTCGCAGCAGCGACTTTTGGTTCGCCATCGAACGCAGACGGCGATCAACGCATCGCACGCTTTCCGATGCACTTGCATGCAGGCACAGCACCGTACGTAGGCAACCGTGCTAGCCGGAGGTGCGGCCGTCTGGAACGCTCTTGCGATATTAGGAAGCCACCGGTGCCCGTGCACTTTTAAATCTCGATTGAAAACTGATTTCCTAAGAACTGCTTTTTTTGTGTTTAGTTTTGCTGTCCTTTGCCCGCACCTCCGATTCGCAGGGGTGTCTACGCAGGGTGCGAAAGAAACTCAACATCATACATACAACGTGAGTTTGACATCTGCGTCCGGGTATCTCTCTCTCTCTCTCTCAAAATACACGAGCAATTCCAGTCAGTCTCAATTCAGAAAATCATGAAGGCCTCCCCATATCAAGCCTTTCGTGGTGTTTTTGACCATACTTCACCACGCTGATCGGGAGAAACAATGGCAGGGCCGGATCTGGCATCACTCGCCACTGATGTTCACCGTGCCTGGGAAACACACCTGGATCACCGGGTTCAGAGTGCAGTGCGCTAACCGCTGTGCCACCGCTTCACCCTCTTTGATTGGGCTCATAATTAATGAGGCGCGTCAAAGTCGCTCAGCCAGCACCGCCGAGAGCCTGGG